GTCAGTCAGTTAAAATATTTCATTGCATGATTGTCCATAGCTAACTCATAATTAATCACACACACAAAGTATCTAAGTAAAATGACAAATATTGTTCTTTTATTTGATGTTTTATTTTGTAACATTTTGCATGCAGGACTTTTAATTGTAAAAGAGCATTTGTACACTGTTGTGTGGGCCGAGGGTCATAGTTACAGAATGTACATGAATTAATCTCGTGTCAAAAAACCATTGTGGCGTTAAAAGGAATTTGCGTTATAGCGTTATTATTGCTCTCAAATGCTGAGCTGCAAACTGAGTAGTGCTCAAAATGTGGTTAAAGCTCCCTCAGACGTTAGGATGGGGATCTTTGGACTGTGGGAGGAAGCCGGAGTACCCGGAGAGAACCCACGCAGGCACAGAGAGAACACACAATCTCCGCACAGAGAGGCACCAGGGCTACCAGGGCTCACACCCAGAACCTTCTTGCGGTAACAGTGCTAACCACCACGTCACCATGCTGCCCGCTTTTAAATGTGCTATATAAATAGACTGAAATGAATTGAATATATTTATAAATCTTTCTAAATGGTAAATATGATAGAACAGAAAAAACTAAATATCATTGTTGCCAATCTAATCTAATCTAATCTAGTATAGTACAGTTTGGAAATGCACTGGATTCAACAAAGGAAAAAAGTATGGAGGATTTAAGCAACTCAGCATTTGACAGCATACAGGCACAGATCCGTAAGCAGAAGCACAATATCAGATGTGAGAGCACTGCCCTGACATGTGAGCTCATTTCTGAGTCTCTGCTCTGAGATTTCTCTGCTGGGCTTTGTATGAGGTTATGTTGGTGCCAAAAGGTTTGAAAGTGAAGCAGTTGTTTGAACAGAAAAACTGTATGTGACAAATTAAGAATTTGGGGATAAATGGTGGGGACATGGAGACTTGTAAGATTTCTTGAGATGCTCAGTTTTCCCCACTGAGCATGCCACGGTTTGATTCACTCTCCAGTTCATTCCAGGCTGAAACCTCACTCATACAACAAGTGAACAAATCCATGTAGTCTTGCAGGATTTCTTGAGCATCCCTGTCACTCTCAGTGAACATACCAGGGATTGAAACTTCATTATGATGAAGACTGGATAAATGCATGCTGTGGTCTTGTGAGATTTCTTGAGCAGCCCAGTTTTCCCCACTGAACATGACATGGTTTGAATCACTTTCCAGTTTAGTCCATGCTGAAACCTCATCCTTATAAGCACTGAGTAAGTCCATGTAGTCTTGCAAGATTTTTTGAGCATCCCACTCACTCTCAGTGATCATAACAGAGTTTGAATCACTCTCCAGTTCAGTCCAGGCTGAAACATTATCCTTATAACAAGTGAATAAATGCATGTAGTCTTGCAAGATTTCTTGAGCATCCCACTCTTGGCCTCTGGAGAAAATAGAATTTGAGCATGAACTAGGGCACTCAGCATCCGGTTCCAAGTTCCGAGTTAAGTTCAGTTGTCTAACTGACTCACCAGATTTTTCTGCATGTATGGTTTCATGGCTGAATCTCTCAGTGTTTACATTTTCACTGAACCTGTGCTCATTGGAACTCTCAGTGAATGAATCTTTTTTGGAGTTGCTCAAACAATCAGCTGTTTCATGTAAATCATTTACGTTGGTGCAGACAGTCATGAAGTTACGAGCTTGCTCTACATAAGATGTGTTGCAGTGATCTTTCAAGTGAGCCATTGTAATAAAATTGTGTTGTAGGCCTTGGCTGGGAGTGAGTCTCTGCTCACTATCAAGATGTAGAACTCCTTTCAGGAAATCTAAAAATTCCATCCTATCTGCATATTCAAGAGCATCCATTTTTGGGTTGGCCTTTACAATCCCATCCAAATTTAGGGGTCCACACTTCTCTGCGAATAATTCCTCACTGTCATCATCATCCTCGCTGTCATCATCTTTCTCCCTGTTAAAATCCTCACTGGTGCGCTTAGCATGTAAATATTCATCTTTAGTCATTAGTCTCCATTGTGGGTTTTTGAGACACCCTGTTTTGACAAAATAATGTGAAGTCTTTGTTCCAGCATTTAGCAGGTGGTCCATTGGTTGACCTAGCAACTGGCAAATGGCTTTCATTGTCTGGTGTGCGGTGTGACCATCAAAAGGGCAGTTGGCGAAGTATAGCAATGCCATGATACATCCCAGCCCCCACATATCGATGGCTTCCGATATGGGAAGGCCTAAGAACACCTCTGGTGCCCTGAACACGCGTGCTTGCATGAGCATTCCAACCTCTGCTCTGCTGGCTGGGAGAGCCAGACCAAAATCTATTAATTTTACCCTGAAGGGCTCATCCTTGTGATTGACAAACATGGCATTGTCTGCTTTCACATCTCCATGTATAATGCCAAGACCTTTCAGAGCATTTAATGCTACTAGTAGTTGCTGTGCGATCGGGCGGATTTCATTAAGAGTCAGAGGCCTCCAGCCTCTTTCTACAATCAGATTCCAAAGACTCTTGTCGAGCATTTCAAAGACCACACAATAATCATTTTGGCAATCAAAGGAGTCTATGAATTTCACCAGGTTGTTCTTGTCTGGGTCGAGAGCCTTAAGTTCTTTTAGCATGGTGACTTCATGTTGAATAACATCTTTGCTGATGTCGCTTTTGTAGATTTTGATGGCAACAGTCTCTTGATTTTTTAGGTTCAAACATTTGGCAACTTTGCCATAACCCCCTTCTCCTATGAAACCTTCAATAACATATTGTCCAGACTTGCAGGAGAGTTTGGCAGTGTTTACATTTTCACTGAACCTGTGCTCATTGGAACTCTCAGTGAATGAATGCTCATTTACGTTGGTGCAGACAGTCATGAAGTTACGGGCTTCCTCTACGTAAGATGTGTTGCTGTGATCTTTCAAGTGAGCCACTGTAATAAAATTGTGTTGTAGGCCTTGGCTGGGAGTGAGTCTCTGCTCGCTATCAAGATGTAGAACTCCTTTTAGGAATTCTATAAAGTCCATCCTATCTGCATATTCAAGATCATCCATTTTTGGGTTGGCCTTTACAACACCATCCAAATTTAGGTGTTTGTAGTACTGTGCGTATAATTCATCAAAGTTATCATCATCCTCGCTGTCATCATCATTCTCCCTGTTAAAATCCTCACTGGTGCTCTTAGCATGTAAATATTCATTTTTAGTCATTAGTCTCCATTGTGGGTTTTCGAGACACCCTGTTCGGACAAAATAACGTGAGGTCTTTGTTCCAGCACTTAGCAGGTGGTCCATTGGTTGACCTAGCATCTGGCAAATGGAATTCATTGTCTGGTGTGCGGTGTGACCAGGAAAAAGGTTGCAGGCAATGTACAGCAATGCCATGATGCATCCCAGCCCCCACATATCGATGGCTTCCGATATGGGAAGGCCCAAGAACACCTCTGGTGCCCTGAATGTGCGTGCTTGCATGAGCATTCCAACCTCTGCTCTGCTGGCTGAGAAAGCCAGACCAAAATCTATTAATTTTACCCTGGAGGGCTGATCCTGGTGACTGACAAACATGACATTGTCTGCTTTCACATCTCCATGTATAATGCCAAGACCTTTCAGAGCATTTAATGCTACTAGTAGTTGCTGTGCGATCGGGCGGATTTCATTAAGAGTCAGAGGCCACCAACCTCTTTCTACCATCAGATCCCAAAGACTCTTGTTGAGCATTTCAAAGACCACACAATAATCATTTTGGCAATCAAAGGAGTCTATGAATTTCACCAAGTTGTTCTTGTCTGGGTCGAGAGCCCTAAGTTCATTTAGCATGGCGACTTCATGTTGAATAGCACCTTTGCTAATCTCACCTTTGTAGATTTTGATGGCAACAATCTCTTGATTTTTTAGGTTCAAACACTTGGCCACTTTGCCAAAAGTTCCTTCTCCTATGAAATCCTCTATAAGATATTGTCCAGACTCGCAGGAGAGTTTGTCACCCTTTTGTAAATTTGACATTTTTGCAGTTAAATGCTTCCTGATATAATAGCAAATTGATTTAAATCTACCTTACCTGAGCGTTAACCCATATAGAACTGACCAGTGCAAGGCTTACTGTAAGTGTGGATGACCTTGTAAGCTATGACGTCATACATCAAAGGCAACATTCTATTGTTTTGGTTCAAATTCAGAGGAGCTTTGTTGCCATGGAGATTTCATGCTACGAAAGCCTCAATATACAAATTTATAATTTAGAAGTATTCAAATATTTGGACAGTTAAAAATTACATATTGTGTACCTGTACAGTATATCATACATGCGAATGGTCAGTGTGATGATTCGCTATGGCGACCCCTAACAACAAAAGCAGAAAGTGACAGACATTCATATATAGCCTATCATCCATCCTCCCTATGGCATTTGCTACTTGATTGACATGCAGGGCAGCCAGTCTGAGATCTCGTCTTTTCTGACACACGAGTCACCAAACATGCACAGTCAACAGCACGAGCTACTGCGAATTATTTTCTACTTAAAGGGTATAAAATGAGGGGGGGAGCCGAATCAAGTGAGAAACCGAAAACGTACCAAAAACATTCCTTGTGGAATGGGAGGACTTTTTTTTTCGCGACATTATATTCGAAATGCGTTTGCTTGATCTACCAATCTACTATTTCGAAGGGAAATGTGGAGCGGCACTTTCACACGGTTCATAAAAACTACGACACTCATTCATACATTTATTTTGTGTGCGTGTGCGCGTAGGCCGATCATTTTGACTTTGTCATTTGAAAAGTAGTTCGCAAGTCGAAAAAGTAGGATACATAAAGGGCAGCGAGATACAAGGTATTACCTGTCTCCCTTTCTTAGGATTGTTTTTAATTTTGACAGATGATTACAACAAGTACATTCAAGTACACAGTAAAAAATGGAGTGTCAATATTTCAGAGTCAACCTGTTTTAACCTAAATAAGAGTATTTACAACTCTATGGAGAGTAAACCAGCTCTAACAGTAGAGTTAAAAGCCAGTGTAAACTTCTGCAGACATGCAAATGAAAAATTCAACTCTACAGAGTGATATTTAGTGCAAGAAGCTCGAACGGTACATGGTATTTTCTCAAGTGTGGTGCCACAGTCAGTTAAGTAACCTTAACATTCATATGCTGGTAAAGTTTTTTAATAATTATTTTTCAACTAAACATTTTATAGTTAGCCTATAGGTTTTATAGTTTCACTATGTCAATTGAGGACATGGCAACATGATGATATTGTCGAGTAGCTAAATGCTAACAGTTGTTACTACATGCTAACAGTTGCTAACAGTTCAAAAGTCCTATAACTCTCATTGAGTTAAGATGCACCTATATAACATGTTAACTACGTGTTTCTTCTGAATGCTGCTGAGATAATATTATTGCCTCCTGTCTTATGGCATAGTTTTAACAACTAAATTATCGTTTATTACTATGCTAATAACCGCTAACTAGCTTCCATGCTAGGCGAACGAACTTTCGGAAGTGGGTATAATGTGGCCATAAAGTTAACTCTACTGGCTTATATTGTTTTAAGCCAAATGCCAATAAACATGCGGATTTAGAGTTTCATTCCTTATTTAATGAGTAATGTGTATTTTGCGTAAATGAAGTGCTTCCATCCATTTTCTATACCGCTAAGTCCCGAACGGGGTCACTGGAGCCAATCAGGCGAAAGGCGGGGTACACCCAGGACAGGTCGCTGGTCAATCACAGGGCCAACACTCAGACGAACAACCACACACACTCACACGCAATTTAGAGACACCAATTAACCTAAGTCGAATGCCTTTGGACTGTGGGAGGAAGCCGGAGTACCCGGAGGGAACCCACGCAAGCACGGGGAGAACATGCAAACTCCGCGCAGAAAGGTCACAAACCCGTGGCCAGCTCGATGTAAGGCAACAGCGCTACCCACCGCCCCACCATGCTGCCCCACTAAATTAAGTACACAGATTTGTTAATCATGACTCAAGTATATCACCTAAAGTTGTGCCTTGTTGTTCACAGAAAACAGTTATCTGTCTTCATACTGCAAGTAAGTAATGTTTGTATTTTATATCAAACACCAGTTCAGAAGCGCATGAATAGGTAACTCTTTGTACAACAGTTTTCTTGGGTTATTTTTTTTCCTCTATTTATTTGAACAGAATATGGTGCTGCGTGTTTTGTTTGGCGGAGAACAGAAGTATGTTAGGCTGTCTGACCTAACATTTGATGCTTTCATGAAAGAAGGTTAGTTAGAACATCTGGATAAAACAATATTACAATTTTTACTTAGTCAGTACACCTAATTCATCATAAAAAACATTCCTTCTGAACTGCCTAAATGAATTGTTTCTGCTTTGCATTACAATGAATCAGAATGACCTAACTCATCAGCATTGTGTGAAGACAGGCTTGTTCTACTTAACAGTAGTCAACCCTATGATTCTCATCAGAAGGAAATGCATGGCCTTTCAAATTTTACAACAATTTCTGTAATCTTTTTTCCTTTTCCTCCCCGTGACTTAAGTGTGCCTAAAATTTAACATACCAGAAGGCAGACAGCTAGATATGAAGGTGTATGACCAGTCTGACACGGAAGTTGATGCAGAGGTTTTTGAAGAAATAGTGAAGGAGTCACCTTGAACCTTCCGAGTCATGCTGAGCGATGAAGAACCTGGTAATCATTGACCATTCCCATATATGTTCATATTAAACTTAAAGATTGGGATGGGCGCATTAACAGTTTCATTTAATGCTTCTGGTTTGTTCATATTCCTTAATGCACAGGTGTGTCTCTATCATCATCATCCTCAGTATCTGATGACACCATCATTCTGAATGTCATGATGTGTGACCCTCCTGAAGAAGCAGCCGCTGCCGAAGGAAGTCAACCTAAAAGGCCATGCCATATAAACTATGAGCAAAAGCGGTGGGTAGTGGACATTAAGTCTAATCTGGATGTGGTTCCATTTGATGCTGAGTGGTTTTATGTAATAATTTTCTTGTCTTATTTATGGTTTCAAATTTTCAGATTTCATATTTTATTTTAATTTAAGTTAATTGAAAATATCTTAACAACAAAGCCCGGTGGTGAACACATCATGCAAGAGTATGCAAAAGCCAAATCTCTGACAGATGCAACCAGAAGAAAGATGATAAACATACTTGCTGCTGAGATGACAGAAACACATGGGTAAGAATCATACATGTAGGCAATAAAAAAACATTGTTAGTATTGGATTATTTTTAATTGTGATGTCCAATGCCAATTAAGTGATGGTCATCATTGAATTTATGCATTAGGACATCTCCCGCTAAAAGTGTAAGAGTGATGTATGCACAGGGGATAGTTGCTCTGTTTCCATATCTGGAAGACCCATATTCACAACATGGATATGTAAGTAAAACAGGTCCTTGCGACATTAAACACATAATTGTCCTCAGAAATGTTGCTGGCATAGTCAATCTGCATGTATTTAATTACATAGGCGCATTACTATGATCCAGAGAGTGGTTCAGGATACCTTGCATGGCGGTCGAAGACCATTCAAAGAAAAACTACACAGGAAAGAAGTGTCTCAGTTAGCAAATCTCCCAAAAGGTAAGTTTACTTATCAGTTATTTATGATATTGATGGAATTTGTAGGCAGGAGTCAATAAAATTGTGTTGTTTTTTTTTTAAGTTGGTGGGCCAGGCCATGGTCGTTCCAGACCCTTCACCTCTGACACAGTGTTATCAAATGAGGATGTGGAAGCAGCTATTGCTGTTTTGAGACATTCTGCTGATGAAGACACTATCCGTGAGAAGATGAAAGTTACCTTCATGTATCGTCATTCAATTGTCAAAGATGAAAAGAAAGCAGCAGATGTCTTCTCAGTCTTCCCGCGCTTTCTGGACACACCAGGACTGGTAAGACATCTTCATTAAATCACTGAAATATTCCATGCAGCGTGCAGTGTCACTCAACATGTATTTTTGCATTACAGATAGAACAAGATTTCAGACACCTTTTTGGTGAGGTCTGCCAACAAATTCTTGGAGAAGTGGCCCACCTATCTCAAAGCAAAAGTTTTAAAGGAAAGCCATGGACTGGTGCCCACCACAGAGCTCTTGCAATTAATGTGCAATGCTGAGTCAACTGCTGAAGTTGAGAATGACTGTGACTTTTTAATCACCATTGTTGATTATATAGGTAATTGTGCCAATTTAATGTATTTATGGCATAATGTTAATCTGATGTTTGTTGATCTGTAGGCTGGGACAGTGACATGTCTGCTATCTTGCTGCTGCTTCATCTGCTACCACCATCAGCGCAAGGACGAAAGAGACCAGGAAAGATATCTGTATCTCAACCTGCCAAACCTCATCAAATTTATACAGGTATATTAAAAAGTTAACTAATTAATTAAAATGTTAAAATATACTTTCCATCACTTCCATTTCATGCACAGTGAGGTGTTCTGATCTATTGTTGTTACGGCAAGCCGCACACCAAAAGAGTGTGCAAACTGTTGTAATTCCTACACCGTTCACCTGATTTGGATGTAAATACCCTCAAATTAAAGCTGACAGTCTGCAGTTAAAGCACATCTTGTTCGTTTCATTTCAAATCCATTGTGGTGGTGTATAGAGCCAAAAATGTTAGAATTGTGTCGATGTCCCAATATTTATGGACCTGACTGTAGTAATGAAAGAGAAACTGAAATGTGCAAGAAAGTTGAAGCATGTTTTGAGGGGTTAGAGAATCCATTCACAGTTCTTAAAACAATACAAGCGATCAAAATTTTTATCAGACAAGTGAGGAACTGTAGAAACAGTTGAATGTGTAATTGGCTCAAGGTTTGACACAAGGCGAAATAAAAAGACTGGAACATATGACCAGACAGTCGTTCAAGATAGATTCATGTATGTTCCAATTTTATTGACATTGGAGTCAATATTTAAAAGTCAGCATATTGCAGAAACTGCTGGTTCAAGACTCAGAGATATTTATGATGGATCTTTATTGATCTTTAGCTGCTCACTTTGCCTTTATGTACAGTAACCTTTCAAGAACATTTCCATGCCTATGAAGTGACCAGGACAAAGCAAGATTTTGTTGTCTTTCATGTCGACAACCTGCATTATCCCAGGCCTTTTGACATACAAATGTCATATGGAGTGAATGACACAGCTCTCTTTGTGGTCCCATATTGCTTTCTCTGGTGAGCATAGCACTGTATTAAAATTATAATGGTTTGTTACATTAATGACATTGAAATGAGAGACATAATAATAGATGCTGTTAACATAACTTTGTATGTTTGTATTTATTTCCAATTGATAGGTTAGATTGCAGCAATTTAGTAATATAGCATCATATGATGCATATGTAAAAAATAACACTCCAGAGAAATAAAAATTAAATATTATTACACAGAGTGTAATTTTTAAACTAAATTTGGAGTAAAAATAGCTCTATAAAGTGTGATCATATTACTCTTAACAGTGTGAAAAACCCCAGTGTTAAATGTTTTTACACATTTCATTGTTAATTTTGATACTGAATTGAGTAGAATTAACTCTGAAAAGTTGACACTGGCCATAGAGTAAATTTTACTCTTAATTTTGAGTGGGACCAAATGTTATATGAAACAGAGTTAAATTCAACTCTCTAAGAGTTACATTGACACTCTGTTTTTTACTGTGTATGACTAATGCATGTTGTGTTACTCAATACCTGACCTGAAAAGTAACAGATAACAGGTGAGGGTACAAAGTGTTGCATCCTCTCTCACTGCAGACATCAGAGTCAGCTGCACAGTCTGCAGAGATGTGGAAAGATAAAGTATGCCACTTCCCTTTTTTATCCCCATCTCTGCTTTATCGTCCCCATTAAAGGAATGGCATAGCTCCTCAAATAATCCTGGACTTCAGGACTCTCCACCTAAATTGTGATCAATCTGTTGTGATTACTCTAACCTCCCCAAGTCTCTTGTTCAGACTCAGAAACACTGTGAGGGAATTTCTTCAAATATGGGGCAAACGTCCTGATGGATTCAAGGATGAACTGATCAGATTTTGGTGGTCAAAGGTCACTGTGATGTCTCTGTCTCTACTGGTTGGCAGAGGCATTCAGCAGTGAAGCAGATATTCTAGTTTGATTAGATTTTTAGTTTTAGACTGTGAAGATTAAAGTAACATCCCCCTGTGCCCTATGCCCTCATACAGCTATAATTTATTAAACACAAGTTAAGTATTATTACTGTAAAGGACTTCCTTCCTCACTAAACTAGCATTGTTAATTTGCACACTTGAGTTTTTTAAGTCTACAAATTCAAACAGCATATTTACTACGTGTCAAAAATAAATCTACAGTTATTCATTTACCTCTGGATATTCCCAAATGATAAATGACCTGTGTAAACACAGCTTTATATTTCATCCATCCATCCATTTTCTATACCGCTTAGTCCCAAATGGGGTCACCGGGAGCCAATCCCAGCCAGCTGCAGGCGAGAGGCGGGGTACACCCTGGACAGGTCGCCAGTCCATTGCAGCTTTAGATTTCAGGGTTAAACAAATATACACCAGGTTGTACTATATATGAAGATATCTTTGTTTGAATTTTACGTTGAGATGGAAAATCATTAATTATGTGCAGTTTCGATATCAAACTTGTGTAAATATTCAGACAAATTAATTGTGTAGTCAGCAGTGGATGGGTTACACTGTCCTTTTGCTCTTTACATGAAGCCTAACTGTCCCAGCATCATCCAGATATTATGAAGCTTATTTTTCAGCCCCCTAACACCTGACCCTTACCCAACCTCAGCCAAAGGTGACACTTGCTCCAACTTTACACAGTTTTGTTTTCATAAAATTGGACAAACTATTTTGTGGGGACCATCCTCAATTGCTCACAAGTCACACGGGTCCCTGTGAACCTAGTGCGCTCACGGTTTTCCGTCCCCACAAGTATAGAAATGGCAAATCAAGGCCCCACACACACACACACAAAACCACATGCTGAGTTGCTGCTGGTCGTGTAACAGCGAGCACCTTGCCTTCTTACACAGAACATCAGCACTTGAGTTGCACATGCACACACACACACACACACACACAAGTGCTTCCACTTCTACCCCTCGAACCCATTCTCCAACATATAACACAAAGACACTGTGAAGGTAAGTGTACATTATCTGTTGAAGCCAACTGAGAAAATTCATGATATGAAAGTGAACACTTCTGTTTCAGCTCTCGGGCTCAGTCAGATCACAATCACTGTTGCTACTAAGCTGTGAAACCTCAGAGATCAAAAGCTATGCTGTCAGACAGTGCTTTACTGAAAATGCTACAGATCTGTTTGCAGATGCAAAAAGAAGCTCCAGTACAGACCCACTCAAATCTAATCAAATTTAACTGACTGCAATAAAAGCTCCTGCAATGTGTTGCCATTTCAACATAATTAAATTCCACTCATTCAGTGTAATATAGGGCTGACCTGTGCAGCAGAAAGAGTGAGCAGTGATGAAGGTCTTCTCCTCTTTAGTTCCACACACTTTCTCAGTTTACAGATCTGGTCGCCAGTTCTGCGGTTGAGGCAGCAACTGCACTGTCCACAGTTGATTCTCCTCAGGCACGGCTCGCATGTCCCACACCTGCTCTGCTTCTTCCACTTCTTCTTTTGTGGTTTTTGAGTGGCCCAAGACAGCAAGCAGGCATCCTCCGCCACCCAGGATCCAGGCAAACTAGAGGGGCTGGGCTCTCCGTATCCTGTCTCTGATTCAGTGTCAAAAGAAAAAGAGGAGCGAGTGCTTTCTGAACTACAGGACAAGGTAGAGCAACTGTCCAAAGAAGGAGTCAAGGTGTTTGGCATTGAGTCTGACTCTGAAACTGATATGCTGTCCTTGCTGAGGTTTGGTACATACTCAGGTGTAAGGGCATCTGTGCTCGACTGAGGAACTAACGACAACAAATGCAAAGATGTCTCTTGCTGCCGCCTGTGGCCCTCCGCTGGCTCTTGACTGGATTCACTATCTTTGGTCTGCATCTCAGCTGATGTGTGAGCTTGTCTTTCTCCCTCAGGAGAAGGGATCTCTAGGCTTTGTTGTTGGTGTGGCTCCTCCGGGCTTGAATCCCTCAAGCTCCTAGGTTTGAGGGAGTCGCTACGGATAATAACGGGCGTGTTTCTTTTCAGTTGAACAGTCTGCAACATCAGAGCAGTTTCAGGGACAGCTGAGGGCCCTGGAATTTGAGGTTCAGCACCATGAATGGTTGGTTGCATTTCTCTCTTACCCTGGCTCAGAACCTCTACTTCAAGTGACTCTGAGGTGGAAGGGACTTTGGTGGGATTTGAGGTAGCTGTGTTGGAGACCGATAGCACACTCACTGGTGATTCTGACTGTGCCGTCAGTCCATTGTTAGAGTATGGAGGATCTGGAGGCTGAGCGGCTGGAGTGCTGGGGTGAGTGTCAGAAGCACTGAAGAAGACATCATCCTCCTTTTCTTTTTTTCCTCCCTCATCACTTTCACGATTACCCAGTCTCTCAATACTCTCTTCCATCTCTTCCACTGTCTCATTTTGACTCTGAACTGCTTTAGCTGCCTCTAAACTCTCTCTTGTCTC